CCGTTCAGCTACGGAGCCGGAGGACAAGATACACGCCTACAAGTAATCGAAGCAAGTCGGTCATAAATTGCAGTAAGAAAGGTAGTAAAGTGAGAGACCATCTCATCAACATGCAACGCCGCATACACCGGGGACCAGTCTATTAGCCCCAGCTCATACTCAATGTTCTCAGACCTGATTCCATGCAAGTTACGTGAGAAAGATACACGACCAGGACGATGTGATCGCGGAACAGCCAGCGTCGCATAGATGGTAGATGATCATTCACACTAATAGCTGACTCCGCACTCAACCACATTAATGCTCGACGAGACAAATATAAGATCCAAGGTGGTTGCCGAATTACAAGTTACGCGAGTTGGCGCATCAATCAACTGCCTAAGAGAAAACAGCGATGCGATATCAAGTAACAGTTTGGCGTTACAATTAATCTGACCGAGCATGTCGACATTGAAATCGCCTAGACACGCGATCACATCGGTTATATATGCCGCACAGGATAGGCATGATTCTAAGAAATGCAAGTCAGATAGTGGCGTATCAGAAGGGCGATATACACAGACAACCACTACCCGACCGCGAGCAAGATGGAGAGATACGGCGACAATGTCAGTGAGAGTATCCACCGGCGGAACGTCCAAGCCGATCAGGGAGAATTAAAGAGACTCATCAATATAAAGCGCTACACCACCACCACGGCGGCTCGTGGATCTGTCCGAGCGAACGAACACGTAGTTATCTATGTTTACGGATCCAGAGTCGATCGAATTCCGCAACCAAGTCTCCCCGACGGCCAGAACATCCAAACGGTGGAAGGCGACAACATCTCTAACCAACACAACACGCGGAACGAGCGACCTAATGTTAATATGCGCCAAACGCAGTCCGCCATTACGAAAGACGCCCATCCCCAAACTCGGATATTTAGACGGATCAGCAGGGAGTCATGCTGAGCCACCTCCACCAGACGCAAGCGGCAGGGGCAGGGGAGAGGGAAGAGAGAAAGCGGACGGGAATGAAACGGATTTAAGGATGGATAGAAGTGAGTCCGGAATGGTGTACCGATGCGAAGGCGCATTATCCCTGACGCGAAAATACGTGATCCTCCTACGCATCCAAACACGCCCAACACCATGCGACACCGTCAGTCGACGAGCCTCCGCAAAAATGCGCCGTTCAGCTGCCGTAGCTCGTTCGCAAATAGAAATCCTACCTGCCGGCCAAGAGCCGCTGACATCAGACTAAGTCCATCCCTCTGACGAGCTCTGGTGATCAACTCATTGCGCCTCGCTATTGTCGTAAGTTTGACAATAAGTGGAGATCAAGACGAACCTCTGCCAGGAATCCTGAAGGCCCGAGCAATCTCCGATGAAGACACCGAAACACCAAGGGAGGATAAAACCCTCGTTATAGTCTGGATGCAGTTTTCTGAAGGGGGGACCTTTGGTAGTCCGAATACAATGAGCTCATAGTCCCTCCGCTCATTGATAATGCGCCCAAAACTCACAGACAGTCCATCTAGCAAGGCGTGAGAACCACCAACAGAAGTCGCAGGATCAGCACGCACCTCTCCCTCCAGCCTAGCGATGCGCTCCTCGGGTGACCTGTCTTGCACCCACAGCAACCAGATCAGCAGATAGGCCATCCGTCGCCACCGCCAGCTGATTCGCCGCACCCTCGATATCACCGAGACGCTGAAGTACCCCATCGAACTCCACCATCTTAGCATTAAATGTTTCCAGAAAGAGCTCGAGGCGATCTAGGAGAACAAGTCCAGACTCAATACGAGCAATTCTGTGCTTCAAAGAAGAGATGGATTTAGTTAAAGTAGACAAGGAGGACTTAACTGCAGAAAGAGCCGATGAGACGTCCGAAGATATCAGAGAGAAATGTCACCGCATTCCATCACTCTCATCAGGTAGAGGTGAGAGAAAAGGCGGCGAGACACAATCAGCCGAAGTAGCAGAAGCAGCTGTAAGCCGAGGCAACAACGGTCCACCCCCAGCTGCACCAACAGGAATACAATCATCGGATGGACGCAAACTATTGTCAGCTCTACAGAATGCGCAAGGCTGCGTACGCAAAATAAATCGTTTACATTTGGTATACACGTCGATTGACTTATTCTAAAATACTCAAAATCACAGTACAAGAGAATGTGTTAACGCGAAGGATCGCACAACAAAGACACGCAGCAAAAATTAACGAAATAATTATTTATATCTGTGTCTGTCCTCTAAACAAGGGCAGATGCGACCGACGAACAAACAATAACGATATAACGACTAGATTTGAACATAAACTTATGACGTGACTATAGAAAATTATTACACAGTGATAAAACATTACAGAAATGTAATGAAAATCACACAACTAAACGCAGTACAAACGCACTAATATAATATCGAAACGCAGAAAGATCGCATCACTCACTCACAATAATACATTCCACTCCCTGACCAGCACTCGCGAAATCATTAAGAGTAAAAAATCAGAAGATAAAAATTGAAGTAATGTAATAATCACCACCTACAAGACGTAAAATGTACAGCGAGCAAATAAGTAAAAGTAAAAGGCCGACTTTTTACGAGAGAGAACACCGTAAATCGAGCAAAATCCCGAAATCATAGCGGAGCGGCGAGCAGAGATGTTGACAGCACAAAGTGTCACACGAGACTCCCCGACTATTGAGCTTTCCATTCTATTAACTTTCATTTTAATACATTTTAATACTAAGTAGGGTAGACCGGGGAGTAAAGGTCCTCGGGGAAAAAGGTCCACCCCTTGTATCTCGGTATTAAGGCATTCACTAGAAAATTCCACCACACAGTTTGTCAACTAAGAGTAAGAATCTTATGTCACACAGTTCGTTACTGCTTAATAACCGTCAGGAAACTTGCACGGATGTACCCATGTGTTTGAGAGCCAAAAGTAAGATAATTAGCGCCGCAGTTATTTTGGTCTGAAGGGATCATTTTTGCACCTAGATAGATTAAATAAGTATATTTATTAATCTTATTCTATTGTTTTAACAGTGTGATTATTAGAATTGTTATTTCTATTATAGTTTTTTAATAACAATGCCGCAAAGTTTACGTGACTTGTTTGGAGTAAAAAGTGCCATGGTTGTTGGAGTAAAAGTGCCATGATTGCTCTGCATTCCTTAATGTTGATTCTATAACAAGTCGATAATCCTAAGTCGATAATCTTATCAGTGAAGTTGACCAATAGTCAACAGTACGAAACGTTACCGATTACTTTCGATTATCGACTCATTATAGAATTAGCATTAGTGGTGTTCGTTACGCAGAGAGACAGGTAAATTATTCAGAATGCGACTTTCATCTCCGATTTCGATGAAATTAGGCTTATTCGACGCGTCTATATTACTGTAATAATGATGACGAATGATTTTATCGCTTAATTATCTTTTATAACAAATATTTTTTCAAATTCGTTATAATCATTCATTATTGGAAGACTGATTTAATTTTTTATTAAGGTCAAAATGACTTAAAAAATCAAGTGTAAGAGGAAAGACTATTCTTATTTGTTTTCGAGCACGATATAGTGCTAGTTTTGTTTCTTCTTTTCAAAGTTTGTCTTAGGTTAAGAAAACATTAATAATTTAATTTTCTGTTAAAACTGAAATATTTCTATTATAATTTTGTTACCAAAACCCTCTTAATAATAAAAACCCACCTTATAATAAAAAACTCTTTAGTATATACCTATTTTTATCTCTGAAAATAGTTTTAACGTAATATATTAGTATTGGTACTTTTTACCCCATTATGTGGAACTTCTTGCCCCACATATGGGGTAAGAAGTGCCGAATGACTTCCTCTGTAAAATTTACGATATCTTTGTAATGAAGGGTATATATGCATACTTTCTCATGTATTTTATAGTCAAAGGACTCTAGTTTCGAAAAATATCAACAGGATCTGTGTGAGTTAAATATTCTTTATTTTATAGCAAAAAATGTCAAAAGTGGCCCTTTATTCCCCGGTCTACTCTATATAAATTTAAAAATATATTGTATATCTCAGGAAATTGTAGTATCACATGATAAAAGAATATTTTATTGAAAAATTGTATCGAGATAATTTTCAATTGTTTAAGAGGAAAGCTTGTCATTAGAATATGTAATCTACAGGGTGTTCCAAATTTAAATGACCAAACTTCGGGAACGTGTAGGGAATCGATAAACTAATAGCGAATTCGATTGGATGTACTCAGTGCGTACATTAAAGCCGTCGTACGCAAATTGAAGTAAAAATGTGTTTAATATAAATATTAAAAAATTTAACTATGAAATCTTCAATATATTTTATTGTGCTGTTAAATAAAATCTGTATTTTATAATTCAAAATATTTTTATAATTCAAAATATTTGCATTTTATTTTAACGCAAGTTAAATCAGTGTACTACAGTATTAATATGCACTAGTGCGTCCAACCAAATTTGCTATAAGAAAAAAAGTCTTTTGGAGATGTGCTCGTTATTGCTTGGCAAATTGCCAAAAGAGACAACACTAATTTTTGGAATATTACTGTTTTCAAAGCGAAATATTTGTTTTTCATGTACGACTTCAGCGATAATACTTTAGAGACAGTGTGAAGGTATGCGCGCTGATTTCCAGAAGAGTATTAGTTAGCCATTACATTGACCAGATCAGTGTTTGGCTGCAACACGAACTGTTCGCACAAGATGCAATGCATGCATTGCTGCAAAAGGTCAACATTTTGAACATTATCTGCATTAAGTAAGTGACAACGTAAATAAATAAGTGTGAATGAATAAATAATAAAAATGAGCGTACGTTTTATCTTTTTTTGCGATTTTCTCCAAAACGAAACACAAACGAGCATATTTCTATAGGACTTTTTTTCTTAGTTTATAGATCCCTATGCGTTTTCAAAGTTTGGCTATTTAAATTCGGGACCATGTATACTTATTTGTTTACAAATTTTATGAATTCTTTTTATTGTCACAGAACATTAATATTGGAGACAGTTTGATACAATTGGAAATGGCTCATATTGAAGAAGATATCCGTTCGACAGTAAATTTGGCGTTGTCTCATGATAAATGCGATCTTCCATTTATACCATTCTTATCTGATTCTTTATATCTTGACTGAATGCAATTCAATTGTCATGAAGCCAATGTTAATCTGAAGAAATAATTGAATTATAGCAACACATCAAAAGAGGTAATTTCTTTCTTCATGTTAAATATTAGAGGTTTTTTACAGGGTGTCTCGCGAGACTTCTCCCATCACTCACAGGAAGATAGATGGGATCAAGATGAACACAAAAATCCCATACTGTTTAGCGATTTTCTCAATAATAATTGAGATATTAATTTTTGTAATTGTACTAATGACAGCACGCCGAAAGAAACGCTTCGGCCGCTCGACGTATAGCCAGGGAAATAATTTTATTGCAGCCAGGAATCGAACCCTAGCAATTTAATTTGATATTGCTTTAGTTCTGTTAGGATTGCGTTTCAAAACTAAAAATTAAATTCGGCGTGCAGTTTGCAGGATTAGAGATATGTATTATAGTATATAAATTTACACGAAATTATTTAAGCATTAAAAATCCAGCTTGACCTTCATTTCCGATTTATTGTAAAATAACATTATCATTAATATTAATCACAATGCTCTATTTTACGTTAGCAAAATGAGATGAAATTAATTATAATATAATGCTGTAAAATATTAATAATTATCATATTTCTCTTAATGAAAAAATTTTCTTAATATTTCTAAGAGTTTGTCATATTATGAAGGTTGCTGGAAGAATACTTTAAACTTTTTTAGATTTTATAAGTTTTTCTTTGTGTGTTTCTATTGCTCGAACCATCAGCATCTCTGTAAGAAATTTCCTTCTTTTTGTTATTAGATCGGACATTTTAATAATACTGGTCACTACTGGAAGCGCACCGTTGCTCAGTGCCTGACATCGTCACTTACATATCTCGCCGCATCGCGCCGAGTAGCGGTGCGTTTCCCCTTTTATCTGTCCAACGCACTGCTGGCAGCCAATACTTGATAAACTGGGCCTGGCTACGGATGGAGTGTTTCTCTCGACGTGCTCTCATTAGTACAAATACAAAAATTAATATCTTGATTATTATTGTGAATATTGCTAAACGATTTCAAATTTTAAACGTCACACTGGCTCTACACCGTCTCAAAGAGACAGTGTAGAGCCAGTGTAACATTTAAAATTTGAAAATTGAAGTCAAGCGAGAACAGGGTTTTAGCGCAATAATGATGTAGTGTACACCATGGCGTGCACCACTTTAGTATAGTGTAGCTGAGTGTAGCGCTTACACGTAACTGGTGCGGTGCGAGGTTGCACCCAGTGTATCCCAAGAGAAAACGCTATTAGAGAGAGACATTGTCCAACTGTACACACCATGTTATCCCTTTCACCATGCATCTATCTTCCTGTGAGTGATGAGAGAAATCTTGCGGAACACCCTGTATAATAAGCCATTACCTAAGCTTTAAGTTATAAGCCATAAGAAGTCGATCACTAATCACAGTCAAATGTAAGAAGCCAACTATGATTGATTAATTTTTTACGGCTTAATACTTAAAACTTAGGTAATGGTCTGTTGTAGAAAATCTATTAAAAAAGAATATCGAAAAAGATCAATTTTTTGCTGATGGAGATAAATCTTAAATTTGGGTATTTTTTTTATAATTTCAAGGGTGTCGAATTTAGATATATGATGTTAAAAATTCGTAAAATCCCGGGGAAATGTCTTGAATTCAAAGATGTCAGCAATCTGCGTACATGACATTGCCATAATATCTCATTAAGTCTCATTGTCAGTATTTTCCCAGTAAAGTTTGCTGTCTGTATCGTTACTGGAAAACTACTGAGACTTACTGAGATATTCCAGCAACGTTAGGCAGGTCTTAATAAATCGTTTATTACTGATTATCTTTGAATTCTAGGTATTTAATTACCCAGAATTTTACTAATTTTTAACATCACATATCTAAATTCAACACGCTCGAAACTATAAAAAAAAAACACTTGAATTCAGGATTTATTTCGATCGACAAAAAATAATCTTTTTCAACATCTTTCTACGCGCGTTAGGAATAAAAACAATAAATTTTTACATAAAATATGTAATGTTAAATATTAGATGAATCTATGGTACAGATATACAAATGAAAAAACGTTCTTTTTATACATACCTGTATGCGCGCGCGCGTGTATGTGGTGTGTAACACTGACAAGGAAGGGCTACCAGGTGTCTCTTTTTGATTTTAATAAAACTAGATGGGTTAATAGAGAAAATAAAAATATTTAATATGTATTTGTATAAGCAATCAAACATGTTAAAGGATGAAATTAATTTTATTCTTAAAAAATCGGTTTATACATTGTACAAGGAAACATGTTTTCTGAAAGAAAAGTGCCATAATTGGACTGTGCGAAAAGATTATGATCATTGAGTGCTCGCCCATATTACCAGGTACTCTCGAAAATGCATGCGAGCAGCAGAAGTAACGGACAACGCGTCATGGAATCTGGAAAAAATTATGCTATCATACTTTGTTTAGAAAGTTAAACGAAAATCAAAATATTGATCGAACTGATTTCATCCCTTAAACATGTTTGACTACTGATAAAAAATATATATTAAATATTTTTATTTCTTCTACAAATCTACTATTCCTATCAAGTTTTACTAAAATTGGAAAGAGATACCTGGAAGCCTTTCCTTGTGAGTTACAAAATAACTTTCTTTTTGTTACAAAAAATGATGTAAATTCTTAAGAAATCATATATTAATTAACATATACCTCATTTAACATTACCCAAAAAATAACAGTTGATTTGTAATACTTATGTAATTAAGATCAAATTCAAGAGCATGTTTCTCATACTAGCAGTGTTTTTAAGCAACAATTTGTTGCTAAAAACTTTTTCGGAGCCTTTATATACACAGCTGTTGACTTTACAATAGTATTTTTTTATTCGTCAAATATAAAAAGACATAATTTTGTAAGAAGATATTTAAAAAATTGTACACCGTTGTCATATTATAATATTGTTGATAAATAATGAAAATCTTTGATATTTATATACTGCTTATCCGTTTTAATGTCCCAACCTAAATATTTCCTATTCTATTTAATGAAATGTTTCAGACAAAAAGTATACGGTTGATCATCTGAAAGAGAACGGACAATTAAAAATAAAAATGGTAAAATTAATTTTAGAAAAGAATCAATTTTTTAAAACAGCCTACCTACTCGCGCACCGCCTGTACGAAATTTCGTGTACACGAGTTGAAAGGCTCTTCTTTGAAATATATAATTAAAAAAAAATAAGAGAGGGTTGTGAGCCAAAGCTAGATGTTCGCAAATTATTCTCAAGGTTAATAATAAACAGTAAAACCTATCGCGCAACAGTCAACAGTAACTTTATTAAATACTTGCATATTAACATAAATTGATTGTATTCCAAAAATAATAATAAAAAATTTATAACGTCATGGTATTCTAACAATGATGAATTTAAAAGTTACAATGAAGTTTTATTAACAATGATTTATTTACATCAGTGCTAGCAAAGATTTGCACATTTCGGGCTGATTCCAGCGAGCGGCTCCCACTACCCCTCGAGACTTGGCGGCTTAGCTGCCGATCCCGCGCGCGACATTGTGGCTCAGAAGCGTCCCTATACCAGAAACATACTGGGACCGCACCTTCCGCCAAATTATTATTGAAACATGTTTTTTATTAAATAATTTCTATTAACGTTAATAAAATTTTCTATTAATTTATTCATTGGTTCTTTAATAATATACTTATATCTTTTTTTTAACATAGTTATCTACGTAATACATTACATTACATAATTATGATAACGTACATTTCGACAATAGCTTTCCACATCATTCGTGAGGTACTATTGTAAGATGTGTTTTTTTTATGTGGTTTCCCCAGTAGGCCTATTCCACAAAAAGAAGAATCAAATACTCGTATGTGTCTTGGCAGGAAAGCAAAATTATATATCGTATTATATAAAAGGAACGAAGGACCAAAGAAAATAGAAACAGTCAATTAGGTATACATATAGACAAATTATTTTTATTTTTTGAGTCGTTTGCTCGATTCTACTGAGAATGGTGTATCCACAGAGATGTTGGAAGAACTAATTCGCATCAGCGAGGATAATGATGCGTCGCTTAAAGAAGAACGTTTATCATTTTTTATTATTTTTATTTTGGAAAAAGAGCGTTCGCATAAATATGTGGAGTCAAACATGGAGAAAATTCGAAGACCAGAGTTTCTGAGAGATGGATACTGTGATGTATTTAAAATTAAAAACAAATCAACACCTTTTTCTGATCGTGTTTTTAAAGAAATATCACATTACAAATCACAAAGTTCTGCCTGAAAATCTAGACTTTGTTCTTCGATTTACACAGTAAGAGGATTTCAAATAAGATTAAATCTTTTCTAAGAGTCTCGAAATATTAGGTGTTAAACCTAATTCCTGCCGCTCGTTACTAGAGGGTGCTCCAACGCTGGCGAGTTTCGACGATGAAGTCATATGTCTTTTGTAGTTTAGACATCGCTGAAAGTGATTCAATTCTCACAGGTTAGATTTCTCG